CTTCTAGACTCGAAAGGCGTCGTCACAGAAACTTTCATTTATGCACTTTATACACCGGTGGCCTCTAAACTTCGGAGGCAGTGTCCTACAGGTCGGATTTTTTTTATTTCACCAAATTTCCTGTTATATACTCAGGTGGCCCCTAAACTTCGGAGGTGGTGCTCTCCATGTACACAGAGGAGTACTATTTTGTAAGGATGAAAATGGGGGAGACCAATGTTGCATTCTGCAGAAATTCATCTTATAATTATATATAATCCATGGGTTTTATTCTTCTCCAGAACTCTACTCGGTTCTGAACTTCTGGTGTCACTCTTAAGCTTCCAGCGGCTACATTTGGACATTCTTTGACAAATCCGATCTTTTCTTGCTTTTAAGCTACTGAAAGAAAAACCAAAACCAACAAAGTAAAGCATATTGTTACCTGCTATCTTCTCATGTTGACATAGAATTGGTTATCACTTCTGATAGCTGTAACACTGAGTGGATTGTTAGAGGAGCTTTCTATGGCTATATGAGAGTAACATTTTGTACATCGTAAGATTGTCTCCAACAGGTGATCCATATAGGCACCTAAACCCAAAATGGGTAGTAGGAGATCTAAAATTAGCCTCCAACAGAGTATCTATACGGGAGACTCATTCTGGGTTGTCTGAGAGCCACAACCCAAATATGAGTATCCTCCCTCCTGGAAACCCATTTGCAGAAAGGATTCTCTTTTGGGTCCTTTTGAGTCATGTTGTTGAAGAAGATGTCGAATGGGTATTGAACCCTTTTTCTGTAGCACTCTCCAAACGTTGAATAGGTCTTGTATTTTGAGTGGTGTCGTTGGAGACAGTCTAACTGACCTTGAGGTCCTCTTCTTTTCTTTTGTTTACTAGTGCAATATGGTATTTCTACTGTAGTCATTTGATCTAGTGCCTGATTCAACTGATTGCATGATTGTGTATTCAGAAATTCAGAAGTCGAGCTCTAGTTAAAACAGTCAGTATATGGTTTAGGAACAGGCGTAGGAAACCATGAATGTTCTTCAGTCTTTTATTATGGTAGAGGGCATTTTTAGAACAGTTTGACTGTAGAGAAAGTCTTATATGAACTTGTCAAAATATTAAGAATGTCACCGCCCCAAAAGTATTTTCTGGGCATGGTGTTTCTGTTACCAACTAGATAGTTATGGTACTCGGAATCATACACATTATGCCGATGCTTATGCTGATTTGTTGTAAGAGGAAAACTCTGTTCGTTCGTTGAAAAATACCGCTGAAGTATTTTAAACTAACAGAGCTTTTGCTCTTTCATTCTGTATATACTAACGTGAAGTTGTGGGATCTGATTTCAGTCTGTTCGCGGCAGGCCTTTTGGCCCTTTCTTCTTCACCTTTCTGCTTGCTGGTAGCGAGTGACGGACGGCATGGTTGGGCTGTTGGTATATAATATGCTCCTCATCACTGTGTGCTATTGCATTGTGGACTGATGAACAGGAAGGCGCCGCCTATGCGCATGATCTGGGAGACTGGGAGGCCAGGTACATGTAAGCTCAGCTGTGCCCAGCAGCTTCTACCGAAAGCCGATATAGCAGGCCAGAGGTGGTTTCCTCCCGGCCCTTGTTTAGTTCGGCCGAAATCGGTATTTGTACAGTATTTAGTGTGACGGTAAATACTGTAGTAATTTTGTTTGTATTTATAAATTATTGTCCAAATATTGACTAATTAGGCTTAAAAGATTCGTCTCGCAAAGTTTAACCAAACTGTGCAATTAGTTTTTGATTTCATCTATATTTAGTACTTCATATATGTACCACAAGTTTGATGTAACGGTGAATCTTTTTTTTACATAGTGTCAAAGTAAACACCGCCCCAATATCATTCTGGGCGTGTCATACAGACGATGGTTTCCTACCAATGCTTTGCCCTTTGGTGTTTGCACTGTCAGGCCACTATTTGTGGTCAATGGCTCTCTTCCTCTTGGAACTTTGGAATGGTTGTTTGTCTATGGTCTTGTTTAGTTGGCGAATATTTTTTGAAAAATAGTATTGTAGCACTTTCGTTTTTATTTGACAATTAGTGTCCAATCATAGTCTAATTAGGCTTAAAAGATTCGTCTCGTGAATTTCGTCTAAACTGTGTAATTAGTTTTATTTTTTATTTATATTTAATGCTTCATGTATGCGTCTAAACATTCGATGTGATGAAAAATCTTGAAAAATTTTGTAAAATTTTGTAAAATTTTGGGAACATGCACCAGGATTGCAGTCCAAACACACACACGGCCGGCCTGGCGGAGACACGCTGATGCTGCAAGCAGGACCGACATGTTGTGATGACGACCTGATGTGCTCCATCGTCTGGTGGGTACTGTGCAAGTCATGCTGACGCAGTGTATGCATGCTGCTTATACTGTACCATCATTAGTTGCATGGACCACTGGACCCTGGGTTCATTAAATCATGAATAGGTGTCGATCTGGTCGTTTGGTCGTATTTGACTTATAAGTAATGGTTTATCAGTTAATGAATAGTATTTTTTTCTCACACTAAATTAATCAACCGTACTTTTTAGCCCTGGTTTATAAGCCAAACAAGTCCAGACGAACAGGGCTAACCTCTGAGGAGAATTCCTTCGTTGCCATAAAAAAATATAGTATTTCCTTCGTTGTCATCAAAATTTCCAAAATTCTCGCCATCAAATAATTTGCGTGGCCATCTCTCTCAAACAGCACGCAGCAGTGAATCGATCGATGTAGGCTTGTTTAGATTACCTCCAAATTCTAAGTTTTTTCACTCTCTCTATCACATCAATTTTTAGCCGTTTACATGGAGCATTAAATGTAGGTAAAAAAATAACTAATTGTATAGTTTAGTTGGAAATCACGAGATGAATCTTTTAAGCTTAGTTGATCCACGATTAGATAATATTTACAAAATAAGACGAAAGTGCTACTATTCATCGGGTTAAAATTTTTTACAATCTAAACATGGCTTAAACATGGCCGTAGTAGTAGTACTTGGAGACAGTTTCCCCAGGCTTTGCGTCTTGGCCACACTGACCGACCCGTCACCCTCTGGAGTTCATCGCAACCGGACAAGGGCTACGCAACGAACTGATGCATGAGCAGATGGTGAGAGAAAGACGGTTTCAGAAGGGCAGGATGACGCATGCGAGGCCGTCAGTTTCCTTGCCCATCATTGGTTGGCAAACAGATGTGACATAGTTGGGGGTGTTTAGATTCCACCTAAAATCCAAAATTTTCCAAGATTCTCTGTCACATCGAATCTTGCGGCATATGCATAGAACATTAAATATAGGTAAAAAGAATAACTAATTGCATAATTTGCTCGTAATTGACAAGACGAATCTTTTAAACCTAAATAATCCATTAGACAATTTTTATCAAATACAAACAAAAGTGCTACAATGTCCATTTTCCAAACTGGAAGGGATCTAATCAACTACACAATCCAGTTCTGAACTTTTGGATTGACAGGATCATTGAGCAGCAAATCTCTGTCAATCTGTTGCTGTCATGTGGAATGGCATATTGGCATGGCTGCCCTTGCCCTAGTGAGGAGTACAGTACAATAGTGGCCCTCCAACTCGAGGGAGATGGTTGTAGCTCTATGTAGCTAGTACGGCCTGGACTGGACATGCACAGCCCAAGCAAGCATGCATGCTCTAGCAGAGCGAAGGGAAGCATAACTGAGCATGTACGACGTGCCAACTAACAAGCCGGTGATGACAGCAACAGTGGTCGCAACGTGACCGAACCGAGAGAGCCTATAGCCCTGTCCCCTGTAGCTAGTAGGGGTCTTCTCAGGAACTGCTATTGCTTCATCTATTTTCTTCCAGTTATTACAAGGAGAAAAGGACTGATGATGATCATATTGTATTTACCAGAGCCTTATTAGGGTTGGTGTACCAGTATCAGATTGTGACCAAACATAAAAGTACTGTTGTGTGTATACACACACAGGCACGCTACAATCACAGTTGTGCAGGGCATGAGAATGGGCACAAGCATGAAGCATGGATGGCTATCCTATCACCTACTCATACATGATGACCGATGAGCAAAGCAAGGAATGGCATGCAGAGAACACCAGTGAACTGAAATGCCCTTGCCATCTCAATCTCATACATGGCCCGAATGGTGCACTACAGCCTTTCTTCATCAAGGGCCCTTCACTTGTCCGTACTTTACAGCTTATTTTTTCAAGTTGAAATAGTGTTTTTCTCTAACAATAAATCAGTCGGGACACTATATAAGCTTATTTTCTAAGCGAAGCGAACGTCATCGGTGTGTGTCCTAGGACTAGGAGAGACTTGGGGTACTATACCTTCTTTGACCCTCCCCCGTCCTCTGCTGCTTCCTTTTTATCAATGCCTCGGACACCACACACCAGATACAGAGTTCAGTATTCCGAAAAATGCAGCGCACCATAAATGAATTCTACAGGATTTTGAAATGAATTCTGCAGGATTCTGAAATGAACCTCCCTGTGTATTCTAACAAGTTGTGAGCTTTCTTGGTGTTTCTTTAGATGGCCATCAGACTCATCACACTGTGAACCAGATACTGTTTCAGTGAACCTTTTAACGGATGCATTAATTCTGAATTCTAGAACTGCAAGTTTACAGCAGCAGCTTCACCATGACAATTCATAGAGAGAAAATCAGATTTTTTTTGTGCATAAGGAATCAACAAGTTACAGAAGCATATATATTATATATATAAACTAACTGCAAGATGCAGGCTGCAGCGTTGCACACAGCTGAACTCACTCCCAGTATCTTCCTTCGTCGTCCATAACTTCTTCAGCTCCTCACTTCTGGCCTTCTCCAGTTCTCCTGCTTCGACGCCACACTTGGCAGCACTCAGCAGCAGCTGCTACTCTGCAACGCAGTCTGCATCACCGTGACAGCGCTGCGCTAGTCTCTCCCTCGCCTCCGCCCACATAGCCTACACGTACACGTCCACCCCCACCCTGCTCGGCGCGCGCCCGCCATGAGGAGGCGACGGTGGGCGCCCCTCGCCGCCGCCTGCCTCGTTGCGCTCGCCGTGCTCCTGGCCGCCGTCCACGGCGGCGGCGCGCCAAAGCCCGCGGTCCGCCACTCGGGCGCGGCGCGTGTCGCCGCCTTCGACACCGCCGTCGCCACCAGCGTCGCGCGGTGCAAGAAGCAGGGGAACAGAGCTGGCGCCGCCTGCGCGGGGTTGCCCGGCGGAGGCGGCGGCGACGACGACGACAAGCGGGTCGTGCCCACCGGCTCCAACCCCTTGCACAACCGATGACAAGATCGTCCGCGCTTTTGCACTTTGCAGCCGAGGACATGTGAGGATCTCTGTCGCTCTTGCTCTGTATGCGACCTGCGTCAGTCCATGGCGGATTGGTTGGCGGCGCGAGAAGAAATGGAGCAGAGGAGAGCTTCATGGCCACTGATGTAGGGAGGAGTAGGACTAGTAGTATATAATCAGTTACTACTACTATTTACTGATATCCGACGTAGGAGTAGTAAGTACTAGTTGTTCTTGTTCCATGGTCCCTCTGATATCGGCGTTCGTCAGAGATCAGTTCCTGATCAACTAACTGAACCGACGAATTTGTAAGCCACGGTTTGGAACGCAGGAATTTCGTGGGATTTCTAAGGAAATTGCACGTTTTTCCTATGAAATTCTTGCGTTCCAAACAAGGCCTCAAGATTGGGAAATGATAGTTTCCTTTCATCTCCTCTGAATCATGCAGCATGCATCAACATTGTACAGAACCAAGTCCGCCGTTCTCTTCATCCTGTGTCCTGTCCGATTCTCCCCTTTCAGGTTTTCAGCAATGGGATTCACTTCTGCATAAATTAAAGAAATGGAAAAGAACATAACTTTAGTTGGCTTGTTAGATAAGTGCTTCTCCATCGTCGTTTTGTTCCGGACGATTCATAACAGCCAGCCAGATGGCCAGGTTACACCTGCAGGAACAAAAGGAGATAACGATGTGGCGCCCTGCACTTGTCCAAGAGCCAACTTCACAAACACACTTTACATTAGGTAGGGTAGGACGTAAGACAATCCATGTATGTGGAAGCTCTGGTATCAAGTTTGCCTCTTGAAGTGAAGAATTGCCTCTTGGGTTAGGATGCTCAGCTGGCTCGCTCCTCGTCAGCTCAACTATCAACTTGTTGCATGACACTTCCTCTCCCAGTCCTTGTCCAACTATCAACTAGTAGACCTCAGCACATCACTTGAGATTACTCGACTACTCCTCTCTGTCCCTTATTAACTATCGCTATAGGAAGCGTGCTAGTTAAACTTTCTTAAGTTGGACTAGGTTTATACAAAATATTAGTAACATTTGAATTTCCAAATAAGTTTGTTATAAAAATAGATTCAATTATCTATCTAAAGATACTAATTATGTATTATAAATATTAATATTTTCTTGTATATATTTAGTCAAAGTTGAGTATGTTTAATTTCTTCGGACTTCGGAAGCGATAACGACCCTTAAACATACTCAGAAGAAGTTAAACTTCATCTTAATAAATTCTCTATTTCATTTACAATCCCAGCACGAAATACCCGACCTAAACACGATCCATCATGGTACCCATCTACAACACAAAAGAATACAACAATCATTAGCTCTTTTCTTTTGTGCCAAACTTGGTATTTTACAAACTAGTACAACTACCAGTTGCAAACACTAGCAAGAATGCATATACTATGTTCATCTCCGAAAATCCTAGCAAATAAGCTACAAACCCTATCCACATTCTTTTATATCACTATCAAATAAACAGTTCCTTCTAACAAATGCATATACTATATTCATCTCCAGAAAATCAATACACCTCATATATTTTGCAAACGCAATCCAATCGGTTCAACAATAAGGAGGAGATACCTTCTAGCAACGTTTCTACTCTTAAGTTGATCCAATCGTTGAAGAGAAGGGACAATTGGCTGAATCTAGGGGAGGAGAACGCGGGGTGGTGCCATGGTTGCAGCTTAGCTCGGGGTTTGGAGAGAAGGAAGGGGATAGGAAGAAGGCTAGGCAAAACGACGCGATGACTGGCGTGGAGGGCGAATAGCACCATGGCGTTTGGCGTGATTGCATCACACCATCCCATTTGGCGTGAATTCACGCCAAGTGACATGGCACGACTCGTCCTCGACGTCAGATGCACATGGCTGGTTCGATCGACGCATGTCACTGTGGAAGCTTGAGTCGTGCCATAGCATGTGGAGCGACTTAGTCGCCAGTTGTGTTATGCACGTTGGCACGATTTATTAGGCTACTTGTTAAATTTACTTGTTAAAGTACTATGTTGCAATTCTCAGACAGATTAATCACATGGAAGCATCTTTTTGCAGCTAACACCAAGTTACATGGGGTCTATTAAGGCAGGAGCAGCCTATGCCTCTTAAATAATTGAAGAACATAGTAAATACAACATTCACTCTATCTCAACTTCAATGATATAAAAGAGATTAAGTGGCTGTATGCCATCGAGTATGTATGGATCCAATCTCAAATGATCTATATGCAAGTGAGTTTGGCCTTAAATTGTGAAATAACTTAAGTAATTTAAAACAAGGAATAAGTCAACCCCTCAAGTATTGCGATTCACATACTTAACCCATTGAAAAAAAAACGTCAGATTCTGAAATTGCCTCCGGAGATTGTATTGAATACTTTAAATTACTAGATACATGGTCTATACTTGAGGGGATTGAGTAGACAAGCACCAATACCTGGGGTTGTTACTAGACTTTTTCCTTGAAATAATTGCAGATAAGTATGGATGCGCACCTGCTCCACGATGATGGGATCATCCCTGCTAACATTGACCACATAATTAAGTAATGGATCAAGTTCATCCCGTACTGCAATGTATCAATACAGTTCAACTGAGGCACACTCCACAGAAATTTTAGCCAACTTTAAAGAGAAAATTTGCAACATGCGAGAAGTTGTGTGCAGTGTGCACTGTGCAAGTTCCATCACTGATATTGCAATTTGCTGGACCTGATAACATCATTGCCTCCAAACGAGCTTTCAAAAGAAAAAAGAACCCAAGTTATATTGTAATAGGAAATCAATCACTAAACAAGTACTTGTCATATGAAAAGTACACATGCCACTAGAGGATTCCATGGCCCTATTGAAAATTTCATTTCATATAGGTGGGAACTATCTATGTTATTTTTATTAGGGAAATTTCGCTCCCTTAGAAACGTTTCCTTTCAGGTAAACCCAAAGAATAAGAGAGTAATACTTAATCACCTCATAAAGAAGAAAGATCCATTGTACTCCCCCAAAGTATTTCATAACCCTCTAAACTATTTCTCGATTTACTGTACAGCTATACCCCAACAACTATTAAAACAGGGCATTGGGCCCTTAACAAAATTTGTGTTCTTCTATTTCTCTTTCTAGAAGTTCACTTATAAGTTAACACTTTCTAGACAATTGGGAAACTTTGAGGACACCAAATGTTACAAACTCCAATCTGTGAAGCCACAATGGTTACATGCCTCTTACTCTGTAAAGACCTAATAATGCAATCCCTTAGTTACATTTGATAATATTTCATTGAAGATGTAGCAACACAAGGAATGGCGATGATATATGCTTGACACGGCACACAGTTCCATGGATAATTAATTGAAGCCCTGGAAAATGTCAATAAAAATGAGAAAAAAACATACCAAAATCACTTTCTCTCGTTACGGTCTGCAATATGGTACTCTTTTTTCCATATACACGAGCCCTGGAAAATAGAACCATCACGGTGGCTGCTTGCTGGAAGTATAAACATAGGGGCTACAGAATCAGCATGGCATGGAGGAGGGTTCTCTGCTACACAACTTGCATCTTCTTCCTCATCACTAGACAGCTTACAGCCTCTTAGGTCCACAGCTCCTCCTGCTGTATCATCAGGTTCGCCATCAATGACCTCCAAGGTAGCAGCATCTTCATTGCAGAAAATAACATCAACACTTGCTCTCCTCTCATCTTCACCATGGGCAGCATAACGAGTAATGAACTCCTTGGGAGAAGGGATGTGCAGTCGCCTATCGTGTTTACCCGATTCGTCCTCGCCTCTTATCCCACAATCGCTGGCCATGTTCCGATAACCATGAGTAAACCTATCACAAAAGGACAAACCAGATGGTTTTCCGGTAATGCTCCTACTCGAACGTCCGATGTTTCGGACGCGCGTCAGAAAACGATTCGACCGCTCGACGCCCCTTCCTCCCTCCGCGCGCTTCACTTCTCTCGCTCTTCTCGTCCTCTCCTCCTCCCGGCTCCTCCACTCTCTCGCTCTGCTCGTGCCCGCCGCCCCTTCCTCCCTCCGCGACCTACATGCCGTGACGGCGGTGGCTTCCGGCGAGCCGCCCCTCCCTCCCTTCCTCCGTCCCTCCGTCCCTCCCTCCATCCGTGACCTCTATGCCACCGGAGAGGAGGGCATCGGTGCCGGCTTCCGGCGAGCCGCCTCCCTCCCTCCCTCCCTCCCTCCCTCGCTCCACGACCTCCATGCAACCGGAGAGGAGGGCGATAGTGGTGGCTTCCGGCGAGGTAGGTGGGTCCTTCTCTAGATCTGAACCCTCCTCCTCCTCCTCTCTCTCCTTCCTCCTCATCTGGATTTGAGCTCTCCTCCTCCTCCTTCTCCTCCTCCTCCTCCTCCTCCTCTGGATCTGGATCTGAGGGACGCGGCGGTGGCTAGGGTTCCGACGAGCTCTGTTGCAGTAGGCTTGCTTTGCTGTTGCAACAAGCAATATTTCTTTGTTGCATTTTTTTTTCTGATGTTGCATCTCGCATTGAGCTTTTGCTTTGCTTTGCGTCGTTTCTTGCAACAAGCAATATTTCTTTGTTGCATTTTTTTTTTCTGATGTTGCATCTCGCATTGAGCCTTTTGTTTCTGTTGTTGCAATAGCGTCGTTTTGCTGTTGCAACAAGCAATATTTCTTTGTTGCATTAGTCTTTTTTTTTTCTTCTGATGTTGCATCTCGCATTGCGTTTTTGTTTCTATTGTTGCAGTAGTGTTGTTTCGCTGTTGCAACAAGTTTTTTTCTTTGTTGCATTGGTCTTTTTTTTCCTAATGTTGTATCTCGCACTGCGCTTTTATTTTCTGTTGTTGCAGTAGCTTTGGTTTGCTGTTGTAATAAGTAATTTTTTTGTTGCATTAGTCTTTTTTTCGATGTTGCACCTCGTATTGCGCTTTTGTTTTTGTTGTTGTAGTAGCTTTGGTTTGCTGTTGCATCAAATATTTTTTCTTTATTGCATTAGTATTTTT